CATAAGTCAAAAGTTCCTAGCCCTCATAATTTGTCTTACTTGAAAAAAGTGTCTAATGTGTTGAGCTTTCAAGTTATGATTTAAATATCATTGATATGTTTACTTTTCGCTCTGTGTACTTTTCTGTCTTACGCTTCCAGTCTCACGCTTCCCCCGCCTTTGCTATTTGTCGAGCGTAATTAGCCGCAAAGTATGCAACTTGCATTTGTGCAGCCAGGCATGGTCAACGCTATCGCCAATTGCCTTTATTGAGACATTCTACCCAGCTGTCGGAAAGGCTGGGGATTGGAGGTGCGAACGGGTTGGGTCGTGGTGCTTGTGGAGCTAGCTGCGGCCAGCTGCAACGGCAGGCCGCAAGGGCAACATCAGGCGTTGCATGGCAAACGTGGCAGCTCTTTGGCTGGTCTTTCCATGCGAGAGTGTGTGGGTGTGTGTGCGTGTGTGTGAAAAATACCACAATTTCAATTTCAAAGTATCCTTTTAGTGCAAAGGAAATGACATTTACGCGCTTTGTTGTGGTTTGCTCATGCATAAAACATTTTTAGTTTATATTTTTTTCCATTTTATTTTTTATATACACATATATATGTATCGTTTTTTTTTTGCCCTGCCCGACGCACTGGTTGTGTGGTAGGCGTGGCAGGCGGGCCGTGCAGGTCCTTCAGCTGCAGCCAACAATACAGAAAATGTTTTTGCATGCCGCTTGGTCACATGAACAAAGCACAACGAATGGCCACAAGGTCCGTTCGCAGCTTAAAAATTGAAAACTGCAAGCGCAAAAATAAACATAAATAATACAATTTAAATAAAGAAAAATGCAACCTAACATTATTGATTACTCGGCTGTACGAATTTGATTGCCCTATTGCTTCTAGATGGACTGAGTGCACATGAGAAATATACAAATAATATATACTTAAGCAACTGGTTCCTGGTATCAGAGTAAAGAAGTATTATAACTTTGTCATGAAATGTGTAACGCATAGAAGGAGACAGCTTCGATTCCCTAAAGCACATATATATTGTAGATCAGCATCAAAAGCCAAGTTCATATTGCCATATTCGTCTCTCTGTTTGTTTTCTTGAAACTCTGCAGAGGTCCCTCTTTCTGTTGCTGACGATATATATGTCGGATCGGACCACTATATAATATAACGATACTTACGAAGGATCGGTCGAAAAGTATTTCCTTGTATAGAAAACGTCTCATCGTGCTCTCTACATGTATGGACAAGCTCATCAGCATCCGACCACTCTATCATTTCGTTCGAAAATTAGGATTTTGTATGGCAGAATATTCTGTTTTCTTAGATGTTTTCAAACTCAGCATTCACTATTCTCACATATCTGTAAAAGGCAATTGTCTAGATAGTTATTAAATCTTTCTATCCTTACTTACTTTTTTTTTTCTTAGCTTTACCCACTATTACCTATATATGTATATTCTATTTTATAATCTGTATAAATTATATTAATTGTTTTTCTTTCTTTCTATGCTATCGAACCGAAAAAATGATGGGCTCCACATTTATAACATTATTATGCTATTTGTTTAAACATTCAAACATTCGTTTCTATAAAAAACAGGTAAGTTTGTTCACATTTATTAAAAAAATATATATACTCTACATTCTTAGGAACTTGAAATGTTATCTTAACTTGAAAAATATAACTTATGACAATTCATTGCTCGAAAATAACTTCCACAAAATTAAAATTTCCCCAATAATATTATCGTCAAAAATAATGTATAATATTTAAATCTATAATTTTTACTTCGGCGAATATTTTTAAAAATTGTTTCTAATATAAAATATTTTATAAATTTTGCATATCCAGCTGTGGTACACACAATAGTTTCCTTTTATTGTGTGGTACCTTAAAAATGTCAGGAACTAAATATATTTGTATTTTATTTTTCCTTTATAATATCATCAGCCATTTCTCAAGAAATATTATTTGCAGCTGAAGCAGCTTATTTCGCTCATAAGCATAAAGAGAATTCAGAAAGCAACTCAAAAGCAATTGTATTTAATAATTTCAAAATAATATTATGCACAACAATTGAAGCCATCAAGTACAGTCTATAAATACAGCACAAAAGCTGTAGATGGGGCGCGGTGGGCGGGGTGTGGCACAATCCATTGTGCGCCAAGGTAAGCAACAAAGAAGCCCTTGGAAAGGGGTTGGCGGGAGCTCAGCGCAGTGGAGCATCGTCTAAATTGTTGAAAACCTGAGACAGTGAACCAGAAACGATTAAACTTAAATTTCTTTTTTTTCGGTTCCTAGAAATGGGTTGCCATTGTGTGCGGTGGGGTAGGGGTAGGGGGAGGGGACAACGTGAATGGTAACTGGTAACGAGGACATCTGCGAGCTGCGAACAATAAGTGACAAAAATCAATGGAGAACTTCTGGGCAATGCCGGCGGCTGCTGCAAATGCGCTTCCTGTTTCCTTAAATGGGGGAAGCACCAAACGGGATGCAGTTAAAATGGCAGCGAAAGGGTTGGCGTGAAAGGGGTTGAAAGGGGGGAGGGTGGAAACGTTTGACTGCTGAGCTATGTGAATGTGGTGTTGGCATTTGTTGAATATCAACAGGAAATGCAGTGAATAAACACGTCGAGTTTGTTCGATTCGTTCAAGAGTTCAGCATTGAGTGTGTGTGCGTGTGTGCGTGTGTATGTATTTGTGCTGCATTGTGCTAGTATGAAACTCACATTTTGAATGCCATTCAATTCAATTCGTTTCGATTCAATTCAATTTTCGTTCTGAATGGCAACGCATCTACCGCGCCGCGGGCAGCTTTTAGCCTCGGGCAATGGCCAGCAAATAATGCAAAATTTTGCATCTCTCAATGCCAGTGACAGCAACAACAATAAAAGCAACAACAACAGCAGCAGCAACAACAACGTCAATGCTCAACAAATTTGGCACAAAGCTCGTTGCGTAATTGCATTCATCAAAATGAATGCAAAGGCATGTTCATTTAAGTATACCCTGTACATGTTAAAAGTGTGTAAAAAAAGAGTATCTTGGGGTGCAGCTAGTGTATGCAACAGGCCGTAGCAAGCATATATATTCGTGATCAGCGATCTAATTGTGTTTGTCTATGCGACTTGATGTCAAAGTTATAACCGGCTAAAATTATGACATTTAATATGTCGCTACTTTTATGCAATGAGTATATCGATCATTTAAATTTTGCGTAACAAATCGATAAAGATCGATTTCCTTGGATTAATTTCAAACGTTCTTTTATAAAACGAAATGTTACATTCAAAAAGATTTCATCACATCAGAGAACTTTTAATTTAAAGGCGATTTCCTGGTGTGCATCTTGTCCATCATATGATATCAACTAGTCGTGCATTCTCTCCAGGACTTTTCATAGGTTTTGTTTTAATTTTTTGCAGTTTTGACTTTTTCAATGTAATCAAATGAAATGCAGTGCAAAAATTTGTTGGACTTTTCTGTGCCCCATGCATTCGTGAGCATATATTGTACGGTTGGCACAAGCCGTTGGCTGGCTTGGCAGGTGCTGCGCTTAAAAGCATGCAATCCATGCCAAATATCAGATGCCATCCGTTCCAATCGAACTGAACTTCATATGCTGCTCCTCGTACGGGTCGCCTTCATCATATTGTCCGGCGTCCATCAGTCAGCTAGTCAATCATATGAATCGTTTTCGTTTGCGTTACGTTTTCGATTCCAATCAATTTGTTTGGCATTTTTGGCTGGCGTTATTCCTCGCATCCAATCCACCCCCTCCCCTTCCCCCACACACAGCTCCATAGAGGAACGCCTCATACTACGAAATGCCAACACTTTTTGACCCACAGTGTGCTGTGAATATTCGCAGTGCCTGTTTTTTCTTCCTCATGTGTTGTGTTGCTTTCTATCGATTTTGGGCCCCCGATCTCAAAGCACAAACCGAACAAAAAAACAGAAAACATTTCCATTCAGTTGCGTTCGCTTGTTGCATTTTTAAATACGGTCGGTTGGTTCGTCGTTGGACAGGGGATAGGGGGGTTGGAGGAGCAAGGCCAGCAACGAATCCATCTTAGTTTGTACTTCCGCCTGTCAAAGAAACTTCTTGTTTGTTTGTTACTGCAACGAGTTTTAGTTTTGTATTTGCAAAAGTCGAACGCCAAAGGCTAAGGCTACACATTACAAATGGCAAATAGGGGCTGATTTGAGGTTATGAAAATGTGTTCAGCACGCAGAAGAAATGCCTTTACCTCTCTATTAAGAAATGTTCTCTCTCTGCATCAAAAGCGGAGTTCTTCAAGTCATTTATCTCAAGAAAGGAGAATACATATCTTATTTTAAGGACTAACAGTTTGCAGGGTATCTTCTAGTTGATCACTCTTTTCTAGCCTTTTAAGATTCTATTAAGATTCGATGAGTTGAACAATTCGTAAAATTTCCTGTTATGTTCGGTCTTTCAGTGCTGTAATAATAATAATAGTGCCGATAGTTTTTGAATAGTCGGCAAGAAGGTTCGGGATATTGGCAACAAATAATCGAATGAGCAATATCGATAGTTGTGAAAGTATATCTATAGTCTCCGATAGTCTCCCTATAGTATCTTTAGGGTTGATCGTTTAAGGAGTGGCCAGATTTGATATTTCGATAAAATGCAAGCCTTTCGATTAATTCAGTTAAAACATTTTTATCTCTATCTTTTACTTAAAGCACGATTTCATTTAACTTGTTTTACTTTGTGACTATGAATGAAAATGAATGAATGCAAATTGTATAGCCAGGTAACATCGATATCACCTCCACGTTTCGATTCAACTAGAGTATGCTTGATCGATATGCCAATATTGTATTGGCAGGTAATCGATCACGGCAACGATGTAGGCTCGAAGATTCGATACATCGCAAAATACACATATATAGAAACGAATTTGAGAAAACCATTTGAATGGGTTTCGCTATCGATTTTCAATAATCGATATATATGTACTATATGTACAATATTTGTATATCTCACAATTCCTAGAAATTTAACGTGTTCTTTGGCTTTAACAGTTTATATTTATTTTGACCTATTTTGGTGCCTCGCTTTGTTTCTGGTTCAGCGCTGCGGCAACCCTCACAAATTGGTGAAATACGTGAATTTAAAAGTGAATAATTTCAAGATGGTTTAAATCGAAATCCAAGCCGAACAACACTACAACTCACCCAAAAAAAAAAAGAAAAGAAAATATGAATTGAAACTGCGATCGATTAGAATAAAGCCGGGTCAGATTTAACGCCATTGTTTCCGTCGATCCTGAAGCTTTTTCTGCAACTGAGCCTTCGATGGCGGCACATTTGGTTTTTGTGCTGCAACCTCCGCTTTACAGATCTCCGGTAATTTGGTATGTGCTACATGAGTTTTATGAAGCGGCTCCTCGATCCGACCGAATTTAGCTGTCACCCGCGGAGTTACAATGCATTCCGTTTGCCCGCTTCCCCTAAGGGTCACATTTCGTTCCCTGCGTTGCGTCTGAATGCGCGGCACTGCTATGACTGATCCCTGTTGGATGGGCGGCACCTTCTTAACTGGACTGGGACTCTTGTTCGGCTGATGTCGCAAATTGACAGTTGATCGTGTCAGCTGACAATTCATGTTGGGTTTGCGGCGACTTGTCATATTGCTCGGCTGGTCATTCGCACGCATATTAAAAGTACCAGTTACTGCATTTAAGCGACTATCCTCGGAAGCTGAACGCTTCAATTTGTCTGGACGCTTGCCGCCGCAGGCTCTGATCAGTTCCTTGTTGGTTTTTGCCTTAAAGGGCGCTGTTCTGCCTTTGGGTATGAGTGCCAGCTGCTTGCGTAGCTGCAGGAGATCCTCCATCTGCTCGGGCGGCTCGATGCCATAGTTATCCCGGTAAAAATCGGTGACGGCTCCGCGCATTACCTGCTGCCCGATCAGAAACTGACGCGTGAGCAGAAAAAATATTTTCGCCTTGTACGCGCACGTGCCGCAAATGCAGGCCGGCAGATCGGGCATGGTATGGAATTGCTGTTGGTTAAGGGAAATTCTCAATTTATATATATACTCCTTAACTGATTTTATGCTCTGGACACTTACAAACTGCAACGAGGCGCGCTGAAAGAGCATACGGTAGCTGCATATCGAAGGCTCGAACTCGAACTCCTGATACTTATCCAGATCAACAAAATGACCATCGTTGGGGCAGCCGCACACTCGACATATCTGCTGGTATTCATCCAATCTACCAATTGTATTCGGTACATTCAAATAGACATGTTGACGGGCCAACAGGGCACTCTTATAGAATGCATCATAGTCCTGTAAGCTGCATGGAAAATTATACTATATTATATTATTCTATTAGGCAAGCAGGAACAAATGTATCAAATAGGAATTGGGTGTAAAAATACATATTGTATCATCGATAACTGATTTTGAACGTTTTTGTACTTTCTAAAGTCGATAAATGGGATTGGGAAAGCAAAAAATAAAGTTTATCGATATATGTTTATCAGGACAATCGAAATGCTATTGATTGAGGTTAAGAAAACATCTAAAAACGATTATTCAGAAATTATAAAGGATAATACGAGTAATTAATATATTTTATTAAAGATATAATTTTAAAACTAGATCTGATATAACGAGAGATATTAATACATCGATTTATCGACTTATCGAATCTAATAATCGAAAAAACAATTTCATAATTATTTATTTGTTTATCGAAAGAAGAACTTTATTATTTTTACATATCTAATATGAAGCATGGACTCTAAATCGATACGCCATTAAATAATTAAGCCAAAACTAAAAAAACGCTATAAAAACAATTCCTAAACTCAACCAACGCAAACCCTAACCTTAACCTATATAAACATTTGTGCAATTTGGCGAGTGAATTGTTTGCCATGAAATTAATTCATAACCGTTTCGAAACTTGTTTAAAATCAGTTACGGCTATGAAAACTTAACGCTAATTGGCAATTTGCCAAGTTCCGGGCAACAAAAATCGCTGTACAAAATTCCTAAAATAAGGCAAAAGCCAAAAAAAAATAAGAAAAGGAGAAAGTGTCCAAGTCTATCTCCCTCTGGCTAACTATCTCTATCTCTGTCAAGTCTTGCGCTGGCCCTCATTGAGCGGCAAAATGCGAAACTTTTTAATTGACTTTTTCAATTACAGTTTAATTTTGTTGCAAGAAATTTGTTGGAACTGCCAATTGAAGTTTTCTGACTGAGAATGTGAGAGCTAGAAAAATATGAAGGGAAAGCTAAGGGCACACACACACTCACACAGCTAATCTATCATTGTCCACACATATGCATATGTGTGTGTGCGTGTGTGAGTGTGCCTGGCAATTTGCAAAACTTCAAAAACATGCACAGCCAGCAGCACATCCAGTCCAGAAACCAGCAGTCAGTCCACAACCATCATGAAAGGCAAAAATCTAAATCTATTTGCAACAGAAAATCACAAAGAGTAAAAGTTTGAGGAGGGAGAGAAAGAGTGGTGACAGAGGGGGGGGGGGGGGGGCAAAGCGAAAGCGTGAGACCTCCTTCTAGCCGCGGGCAAAAAGAAAATCAAATGAAAAGTGTGAAAAGTTTGCAACTTACCTCAGTTTTTTGTCCATGACATAAAATATCTATAAAAAAAACCTCCCGGTTAGTGTATAACACAAGTCTGCTTGACTTTACTGCGGCTCAGCTACTTATCTAGTGAAAAGAGATTATAGTTAGTGTGTTTGTATAAAATAAAACCATGTTGCATGTTAGGAAAATAACGAAAATTAGCCGCCTCATTCAAGCATTGCCCATTGAATTATTCAACTGGCCGCCACATGATGTATGTCCCGCTGATATCAGCTGGGTTTATGGCCATTGAGATTGGCTTTGACCGTGGCAGGGCAACGGCTAAAATGCTGCCCGAGCTTGGGCAGCCAAAGCAAACGTGTTACTATTTATCTTGCAACACACAAAAGCACAAAAAAAAGCGAGCACAAAAAAAAAACAAAAGTAAAAGAATTTCAACAAAGAAAAGAGGCAGGCAATTTCTTATTTTGAGTTTGCCGAAGAATTAATACCCTTGCTGGCAATTACTATAAATTGACTGGAATTTGTGAGAGCACATATATGGATAAATAATAATATCCAAAATCTTGGCTCTATAATTTGTTATACAGTTATTTAATATAGCTGAAGTAGATAATTTATTTTTGTTTTAATTTGTTAATTTAATATAATTTATTCATTATTAAAGCTTATACTTCCCGCTTTTGGCTGAATCGTATGTTTTATTTTTGGTTAATTATTTATTTGTTTATTTATTAAGCGGATATTATCTGACCTTGCCTTCCCCGTATGTTCTAATTTATATATATTAATTAAATTCTTTATTAATAGATTAATTTAGTACCCGATTATAATTTTTAGGCCCGATCCGAAGCAAAAAAGAAAGTAAAATTTGCCTATTACAGTTATGTACCCATTTCCCAAACCTAGGTAAAGCTTTATAAAAATCGGTGAAAACTATATATTACAAAGATCTTAGAAAACATGAGTTTTCTAAAACAGTTTTCCATCAACAGCACATATATTTTATTTCACTATGCCATCGAACATAAGTATGAAATTGAACTTTCGACCTCATTTACTACCGACCAAGCCGTAGCTTGTTCTTACTAATAATGAAAATTAGTTAGAATCATTTGGAACAATATTTTTTTCGCATTTTTCGCAATAGAATGGAAATTCTGCTTTCTGAGTTAGATTTTATCTTTAAAAGATAATCAAGTTTGGTCGAGTAAGTTGGCATACAATTTTTAATATTTTTAAATCTTTTTGATCCATATTTTATGGGGCGATATAATATATAAACCAATATATACCCTACCCCTATAATTTCTCTCTTAGTCACAGTAATCTGATGTAAGATATTTCCTATACTAGACTATATTGCCCATATTCATTTTTAATATAGTTTAACTGAGAGATCATTTTACATAAACTTAGATATATCTGTTATATATCTGATGTACCTTTCCAGCTCGTCCTTCTGATCATAAATTTATACTAATACTACGTGAAAACTCTAGTGTCTGCTTCAATGAGACTATAAAAAAAAAGTACGAAAAAGTTTTCATTGACAGAAACGGAGACTGTAGTGGCAGTATATTGTAATTGTATATAGTATTTCAAGTGGTTCATTTCGATAAATCTTCTCGCTGATTTGTGTCGATTGAAAGTCGTAAAATTCGATGCACAGTCGGTATACAAATACGTATAGTCCACTTGTGCGAAATACACTCGAAGTCATATCTTGATTGCCTTAACTTCTCTCGTGAAACGTGAAAAGTTTGTCTGCTCCGCACGGGGAAAGCGTATGACAAAGGGCACGACAGGAGGCAATAAAAGAGATACCGACTTCCGAGCATAAAACAGCAAAAGCCCGAAAATGAATGAGCAGCACACGGCACAGGTGGCGCTGGTGGAGAGAGTGGTGTTGGTGTTGGTGGTATAATGCCGGAGGATTGAGGCCGGATTGGAGGCCAGCTATTGGCTGGCTGTCTGTCTGGAATTAATCCCAGGCGTGCATTTTTTACCGCCCGCCCTGCACAGCCTTACACCTGTGTGAACAATGCGTGAGAGGACTTTGTGGCGTTGGATTTGAAGTGCGTCGGGATTTTAATTGAAGAACTATACGAATGTCAGACGGATTTTGTGCGTACCTGCTCACTGTCTGTTTCGCCTTATCCTGTCCAGCTCCTTGGTATCCCGGCGGCTTGAGCTAACGCTTAGGTTAAGGCCCGCCAGGCTTAAGGGTTGCGGCTGCAGCTGCGGAATTTCTTGCTCACCTACTTAAAACGGGTTTCGTTTAGTGTGCGTGACGAAATCCTTAAGTCTTGCGTCTTGAGCCTTTCCTTGCATATGTCTCCCTCCCTCTAAATTACAAAATATATAGAAAATCGTTGCTATATTTTTGTAAAATTATTGTGTAATATCTATCCTACTGTTAGGTTGAGACAATTGAAACTGTTTGTGTTCTGACTGTGGAATTTGTCAAAGCCTGCCTAAGCTCTCGTTTACATATATGAATATGATAGGGCTGTAGAATAACAGAAAAACCAAAAAAAAAAAAAAAAACTTATAAACTCATAACCATAGTTTGTCACTTGATTTGCCACCTTTTATGCATGTATGCGCATTCCTTTGGGCATTCCTATACCCTGTACCCACTGAAAAAGTTAAAAAAAAAGTTTTGTTAGTGTATGGAACACTCAGATGGAAGCATCTCTGACCCCATTAAATATATAAATTCGGAAAGAACCAAAGGATCTGATGTGAGCCTAACTTTACCTGGCTATGTCTTTCATATTTGTTCCGTAATCGATAAATATTTATAACTTCGATAAGTATTGATTTCTTCAAGAAATATTCAAGTGTTCGAGATATGTCGATTTCTTTGAGAAATATCAATTTCTTCATTAAATACCGATTTCTTTTATCAAAACCGATTTCTTTCTCTAAACTATCGGACGATATTATTCTCGATAAACGTTTCCAAAGCATGAATAGAAGAAAGAAGGTATGTTGCATCCGCATGTTCCTCTCCGCGCCGGGTGCAGGGTATTTTATCATCGGGTACCCTCGACTAGAGCACTCTCTTACTTGTTCCTTTATTGTCTTTGCCTGTATTTTGTGTATGTGTGTGTTTGTGTGAGGCACTTATCACACTTATCTTCCGCTCAGTTCCCTGATTCGTCTCCCGCTAGTGCATGACATTTCTGGCATATGCCAGTGACAGCGCATGGAATGGAATGCAAAGCGCAAATGGATATGGAGATGGCTATGGCTGTGACGATAGCTATGGCCTGTGGTCTGGGTGGGGCTTCTGTACCTCAGCTTGTTTCTCATCTTGTCACTGACATGCAATATTTATTATGTAAATATTGGTGAACAAATCCTGTTAGCCCGTTAGACTGATTGCCATGACCAGGATTTGCCTTTGTAATTGAAGGTCTGCTTTGCTTCGTTATATCAGACATATGCAATGAGTGCCCGAAGCGCAAATGCATGATTGGAGATTCAAAAGCGTACTTATGAGTAGTCTGTCAAAAAGAGTATGCATAGCATATATACTCGAAAAACAGACACGGATATAATAAGATTAGTTTTGTTTATTTATTACTCATTACCTTTTATATGAGTCGAAAGTTACTCATTGTAGTCAAACTCATTTATTAGAGTAGTTTAGCGTGCCTCCCAAAAGGAATTTGAGTATTAATGAGTACAAAATGTATGAGTTGTACGAGTAATACGCAAAACAATAAATCATGCATATAGCTCTTTTTTCGATATATTTAAAGTGCTCAATCAATTAAACTAAATCAATTAATTGACTCAATCAATTTAAAGTTATGCAAATTACTTTAAAAGATTGCTAACCAAACTCAAATTTTGTTTCTTGTCTTTGACTGAAAATTCCAAATTCTTTGAGTAGAAGCCCTCACAAATATACTAATTCCCAACCATAGAAGTAGTTTACCTAGTACATTACCAATTATTTGAGTAGTTGGGAATTTCTCGCAAATTTACTGGCGAGTACTCAAGCCCAGTCAAATGAGTAGTTATGAGTACTACGCAAACAAGTACTCGCTGCCAAACTCTGCTAGTTATCTATGTATTTCGGCTTCGGCGCTTCTATGACCAACAAATCCTTGCATTACAGCATCCTGCACTTAATGTGCCACAGACTTTTTATGATAGCTCGGCAAGCTCAGTAAACTGTTATTACCTCGGCTCGGGGCATAGTTCAAATTAGCGTTCATTAATTAGTCGCCCTGCAGATTGACGTTTAAAGTAATGCGACATGTCCCTGGGGCAATTAGTTCGCTCTCCTGCTTCATGGATGGAGGGGGGTGAGGATGGGGATTGAGGGCGGTATTGGAAGGTGGGTTAGGCGTGGCTCATTCATTACATTTTTGCTGTAGATTATTATCGCAGCTTTTGGCGCTCAAGTGTCAAAGTTTTTTGAAGGAGTCTTTCAAGTCGGAGCTCCATTAAATTACGAAATACAATATTTTGGCTCCATCAGGCTCCCTCTGCCCCTCCCTCTCTCTCTTTCTCTCTCCCCCCTCTCTGTCACTCTCCCCCTCTCTCTTTGTAATAGATCATTTGCTGCATCATTACGCATACGCCGTGTGTGTCGTTGGCTAATCCTTTGCCAGCCTTTAGGCGCCTAAAGATTTTTCCATGTTGTCACGTCCCACAAATCGCAATAGCATTTTTCTTAGCTGGCACGCACTCACCGCCCACATATATCACTGTCTGCTTCTGTTAGCCACCACCCGCCCGCCCACCCGTTACCCCGTTCAGCCCGCAGATATGGCCACATTAAATGTGGGCCACCGCGAAGCGGATGAAGCGATGCTCCGGTTGCTGCCATTGCCGCCAGCAAATCAGTGTCCTTGCCTTGCCGTTTGGCATGCTGGCATTTTATTTCACTTGCTTTTAGCAGCAATGTTTCTTCTTCTTTTTATTCCACCGTTCCCCCCTCCACCCATCGACGCGCTGTGCTGCTGTGTCCTCGGCAACCGTGTTGCGGTCCATCTCCAGTCGCCGCCTTCATAGTTGGGCACTATAATTCTATTATGGCTGTAAAGCAATTTTATTTCTGGCTGTTTGTTGGCCCGCGCCTCGTTTAGCTTTCATTTTCACATCTGCGCTGCCATTTTCATTTTCATTTCGTATTTTTACGCTTTGTGCCCGGCTTTGCCCTGTTCCACCCCAACCTCAACCTAACCCAGAGCAACCCATCCCTAACCATTAACCAGCGTAGCTGTCATCATCAAATTACGCTCAGCTTTTGTCTCGCAGTTTTGTTTTAATGCGAAAGCACAAAAGAAGCTACTGCGCTGCTTCTGCATTTGTTTATGCCGCTGTTGTTCTTGTTGTTATTGCGCTGATTATTGTTCCTATACCCTGTTCGCTTTAAAAATCCGCTGCCACAAGGGGAAACCTAAAGTTGGGCTCTAATATTTAGAGATTTGGAGGCATTAAATGTAGCATTAGTAAAGCTCAAGTTTATTTCGATTTATCGATAACCCACATCGGTCGGTCAGATTGATAAATATCGATCTCAATAAATAATCGTTTTGCATTGTCAATTTTGTGAGAAAAATCCTAGATTTTTATCAATCTGTTTAAATAGAATATTTGTACTGTGCAGGGGTGCTTTAGTCATGGTTATAGGGTATCTTAGAGTCGAGCTGTTTTTTTGTTTTTTAATAATACTACTGTCTGATTTTATTTCTTATAATACTTTATAATTTTGATTTAAATAGCCTTAGGATAAGATATGAATCAATCGTTAGTATCGATTACGTTGCCTTTTGACTATCGATAGCTATAATAGATATTAATCGATTTGTTACTCAACGCTAATGTGCATAGTACCTTTAGAGCTCAACCCTAGTTACAGGGCATTTACTAGTCTAGCATTTCTGCACTTGCTATTATTATCAGTTTATTAGTGGGCAAATTAAATGGGATTCGCCCAACCCCTTTAGTTATCTCGCTGTAACTATCTTTAGCTGATAGCGAACGCTCAGTTCTCTTGGTTTCGCACATTTGCACACTCTCTTCATGGCGCTCTCTTTCGGCTTGCTCTCTGTCTCTTTTGCTCGGTCTCTTGGCAAATCACACATACGCCGCGTCGATCGGCTAATGAATTCGGCAGTCAACAGCCGGCAGTCGTTGTCGAAACGCATGCGAAAGCGATACGAGTCGGATAGCTAACAAATAGATACACTCGTGCATGGCTGCCTGAATGGGACATCCAGCTGTTAATTGGGATTCGATATCGAACGATACGTTGATTACAGAGAGCAGCTGACATGGTCGACACAATCGATGATCGGGAACGAGATGCGATCGTCAGCAGTCTGAAAAGTGAGGTGCACACGCTGAAGGAGCAGCTGCGCGAAAAGGAGAACGAGTTAATCAAATTGCACCGGGAAATTCACAAGTTAAAGGTGAGAGACGATGGCGCGAAAGCCATCCAGAAAACCAAATGGAACGAACTAGGGAAGTACTGAGACACGACGAATTACTAGCGAACTATGGAACTAATGAGATAGAAGGGGCGAATCACTAGAGAACTAGGGCATTGTTAAAGACAAGGCAAGCCGTAAAATTGGAACTGGGAATCGGGATATAAACTAGTTGAAAAAGTAAGCGCGGCAAGAAATCGCTAGGGAACTACTAAGGAACTAGTGAATATTTATTTTAGGGATTTATTGAAATAGTGAAAATACTAGTGAAAAATACAATTAAAGCATGGGAAAATACACAAGCTGAAGATGCGAGTGTAACAGGGAACTACTAGATAGCTAGAAGAGAACTAAAAAGGATTTCAAATGGAACTACTTGGGAGCTCATAATAAACCACTAAGGAGCTACTAAAGAACAACTAGGGAACTACTAAAGAAGTGATGGGGCACTGAATAGCAACTACAAGGGAAATAAGCGAGATTTATGAGGGACATTAGTAGGGAATTTAAAAATAATTGTATAAATTACTGGGGAATTAAAAGAGGACCACTAGCGTACTTTAAGGGAATGACTAGGCATGTAGTAGAACAATATGAGACTTGTTGAAGCAAGCAATTCGCTAATAACTAATTGGACATTAGGAACTACATAAACTCATGATGTGAACGCGACAAGGAATTGCCAGGGAACTATTAATAAGCTACCAGGAAACCAATACGGTCTACGGCCCACAAAGGCATCATTAGTATTAGGGATTGACGTGGGAGCTGAGAGCCATTTCCAGAGAAGTGTAAATAAGCGGAAATATAATAAGCTTGCATTGAGTTAGCTGCGAGAAGCACTCGATTCGAACTAATAGAAAACTTGAATGAAACAACAAAACGAATACAAGAGACTTGGGCAACAACTGCAGGAAAAAGAATCAGTGCAATAAAAATTGAAGTCATAAAGTTTCAGCAACAAAAACTAAAAGCGAAGAAACACTTAC